GAAGGCAGGGAAGGGTTAGAAGGCGGTCGCAGAGCGAGAGAGAACTCACGAGTTGGCGGAGAGAGAGCGGCGGCGGCGGCTTTGACGCGTCGGCGGGTCTGCGGAGAGAAAAGCGTGATTTTCGGCAACTTTTACGGTCAGAGGACTCACTGTTTGTCGGTTTTCGTCATTTCGCGAACGAAAATGCGTTTCAAATGAAATCAAGTTTGCATTGAACTGAAGGACAACAATGCGAGTCAAGTGCGCGACTGAAAGACGGAAATCCCGGCTCACACTCGCGCGCACTCTCTCTCACATCTCGAAGGCCAAATCCAAGGCCGACGACAGGCGGCGCTCTTTCCCACCCTCAGGGCCGCCGGCGCCCTCCCACCCACTCCCGAGTCCGCCGCAGTGTCCCTCTGGGCGCCCCTCCGCCGACCCCTCCGTCTCTTGTGCGCAGACTCTCTCCTCTGACGTCACTTTTGTTTACTTGCGATAAGAATCTCAGAAATGTTCGCAAATTTGCGTCTTTCGGCTCTTCGCGCGCCAAACACCGCACGACTTATGTCCTCGTCTTCTTCCGCTAACAAGCGCTCGCTCGCCGACAAAGTGGCCGTCGTTACGGCTTCGACGGACGGGTAGGCGCGCGCTTCCCTCTCCTCTTATCTCTCCTCTTATCTCTCGTCTCATCTCTCGATTAGAATCGGTTTCGCAGTCGCGCGACGACTGGCCAAAGACGGCGCACGCGTTGTGGTCAGCAGTCGGTCGGTATTCACGCGATATTTGCGTCCTTTTCAACCCTTTGTCCGCAGAAAACGCGAAAACGTGGAGAAAGCCGTCCAAACACTCCAATCCGAAGGACTGACCGTTTCGGGAGTCGTGTGTCACGTGTCCAAACACGAGGACCGCAAACGCCTCCTCGACCAGGTTTGCCGCCCTCCGCCCCCACCACACGCCTCCTCACCCCCACCTCCACGCAGGCTCTCAAGGACTTCGGCGCCGTCGATATCCTCGTCTCGAACGCTGCCGTCAACCCCGCGTTTGGACTCTTTCTCGACGTATTCTTTCTCTCATCTCTTCCTTATCTCTCTCTCACTTCCGTTTCCTTTCAGACCTCAGAGGACGCCTTCGACAAAGTATGCCTTTCCTCCCATTCGCTGCCCTCACACGCCTTTCCCCTCAGATCCTGTCCCTGAACGTGAAGAGCGCCTTTATGTTGACCAAAGAGTTCGTTCCTCACATTCGGCGAAACGGATCCATTGTCTACATGTCTTCGATCGGCGCTTATCAGCCCTTCGCTCTCATCGGCGCGTATTCCGTCGCCAAAA